GCTCATCTTTAACTGATTATTTACACAAAACAATATATATATACACTAAAACGAAATCATCAATAACGGCGACCAGCGCCATCAGAACAACCAAGTTCACTCAAAAGAAAAACAAAGATGATAACACGAAAAACATTTTACCCTAAAACTACGAATGAAGAAGATCGAGTTAATATCCTCCAAGGAACTCAGGGAAGACAGCCCGACCTGTGCGTCCCTTGAAAGGCATAAATCTAACTGATTCTAGGTGCAACACTGGGGGTCTATTGGTGCAGCAGGTGTGATCGAACAGCTGCGTACACGCGGACTTGAACAGCTGTGACTGAACGAATACAGAAACGAAACTAATGTAGTGTTAACCAAGGAACAGTAGTTGTTAACAGGCGACCGGTGGGGACATACTTCGTAACGAATTTAATCTATGGCACGGGGGGAATCTGAAGAGATGCAGAGACGGTTTTTAATGTCGGTCTCGGGTGTGAATGGGGCGTGTGTGGGGGGGGGGGGGGGTAGAGGACGAGCCAGCTGGGTGAATTTGCAAGAATCGTAGCGCTCGAGACTCGACGATTTCGGGATTCTGTTGAGATCTTTTGCGTTGACTGTGATGTGTATTTTTGTAGATATTTGGGTCGGAACTTGAGTGTAGTGTAGCTATGATCGAATTTAGGTGTCTAAATGTGCATTTCGGGTGCTGTATGGTACTGTAGGGGATGTGACTTTTTCCCAAATGGTAGTTTCCGTGTACAAGACCTACGATATATCTTACGTGTTACAGGAGTCGATCTCTTCCTACTGCAGAGTAAAATCCTCTCAAAGTGTGAGGCGTGAGTTGAGAACGCCTTACCTGGTCTTCCTAAACCACGTGATATACTTCTTCTCCCAGATCCAAGTGTTGAGTTCTCAGAGTATCTACTCGCCCATTCGAGAGCTGGCTTACACTAACAAAAATGAATTGATAATGGGGTATTCGCCGGAGCTGTGATAATGAAAATATCAAAAACTATTTCAAGGGAATGGTGTGAGTGAATTTCATGAATAGTGTACTGTAAGATCTGGCAGTGTGTTATTGATAGATGTGTAAGTGTCCTTGTGTGTGATATGAAATGTATGTTAAAGCGAGTAATTGAGATATGTTCAACCTCTAAAATGTATAAGGCTGTGCATGCTTGTCTTCCTGTATGCTTCCGGGGCATTTGTGGTATGATAAGAAGTGTATTTGATGTGTAGGGTGTTGCTAGTTTAGATCAGAATATATAACGAGAAATGAATGGAGTTCAAATCTGACTTCAATGAAGGTTGGTTTCCTTGTAAATAATGTGTTGCTTGAAGAGATGAATTTGTTCAATGCTTAGCTGATGATTGAGTAAATGTAGATATGTTGTGATATTTCTGATATTCAATATGTGTGGAATTGTGTAGTGTTTGAATGTGATGATTTGGGGGGTCAAATACGATGTAAAGTTGAAATATATGGAATGACCTGCCTGCGTGCTTTTGTGTGTGTGTGTGTGTGTGTGTGTGTGTGTGTGTGTGTGTGTGTGTGTGTGTGTGTGTGCGTGTGTGTGTGTTTGCGTCATTGTCTGTGTGTGACTATATGTGTGTGTGTCTGGGTCTGAATGTGTTTATGTGTGCATGGTTATGTGTGTGTTCGCGTGTGAGGTCTGTGCATGTGTGTGTGTGTGTGAGTGTGTGTGTATGTGTGTGTGTGTGTGTGTCTGCGTGTGTGTGTATGTGTGTGTGTGTGTGTGTGTGTGTGTGTGTGTGTGTGTGTGTGTGTCTGCGTGTCTGTGTATGTGTGTGTGTGTGTGTGTGTGTGTGTGCGTGTGTGTGTGTGTTTCTATGTCTGTGTATCTATATCTGTATATCTATGTTTGTGTGTTTGTGTCTGTATGTGCTTATGTGTATGTGTGCGTGTGCCTGTATGTGTGTGTGTGTGTGCATGTCTTTGTGCCAGTGTATACGTGCATGTGTGTGTATATGTACGCGTGTGGATTTCTGAAAAACGAATTGCTTGTGCAGTCTCTCCGCCAGAGTAACAGCGGCGGGCCCTTCCTGCTGCTTCTACTGGGCATGGGGCTGAGCGGCGCTGACGGCAGCCATCAGAGTGGAGGCCGCCTGGTGGGGAATGTCGTACCCTTCCTCTTCTTCGCCTTCGTCAGCGCTGCGCTCTTCCGCGAGGGGTTCAGGCTCGGGTTCAGGTTCTGGCTGGGGCTCAGGCTGCGCATCGGGCTCCGACTCGGCCTGGGCGTGAAGGGTGGCTTGGAGAGGTTCAGATCTGAGGGCCTCGGATTCCAGTGGCCCTAGAGGGATGCCCTCTGATGCTTCCCGGGGCTGCAGGTACTCCTCGTCCGCCCCTTCGATCGGGGTGGCGGCGACCTCCTCCTCGTGCGCGGGCGTCGGGACGAGGTGGGCGGTGAAGGGCACGTCCTCGTGGGCGTCGCGGTACTCCTCCGGGATGTAGATGGGGACGTCGTTGATCTGAATGACCTCCTGCTCCTGC